TTTTAAGAAGGGTTTAGTACAAGGTGTCGGAAACACCTATGTACTAGCCAATGAATGTCTGCGTAGTCTGACGAGCGCCGCTTAGAGGTATCCGACAAACTGCACGAAAATTTACTAACTAAGTTATAGGTGTTCTGTGACACCCAAGGCGTGACACCTCACAGGCATACACCCCAGCGTTATCCACACTGTCGTTGCGAATGTCATGCCATTCACAGCACTGTGCGTTCGCCTTCTCTGCTCCACGCTGGCTTTCGTAGACTGAAATACGTCCAAAACAAGTTGAATGCCTCGACGGTGGGGCAATGTAACCAATCAGATCCCATATTGACGGTCTACAGGCTACCACGTGCTTTTCTTCGACAATGAAGCAGCCTGATAAACGCGGCCCTGAACAGACTATCACACGTACGTTACGCAGCTCGTCGCGGTATGTCCCTCGCCCCTCACATTCGTCTCCGTCCCTGCCGGCCGCCGCGAAGGGAAACATGGGCTGTTTTTTGCTGACGGTTGGGGTGGATTTGCTGTACCGCATGCCGCAATAGCTCATAACTTGTTTGGAGGTGTGAGCGTCCTTTTCAAGATTTCGAGACTCTGTATCAGTCTTGTAAACTTCAAAGAGCTTTGAACGATGTGGATGGTTTATAAACTAGCATTTTGTGTAGCCCTTCTTGTTAGTTTATCTGATCAAGTTCGGAAAAAAGAGGTGAGTATGGTTGGTGGGCTGTGGCCAGCATTTTTGCTGGTTCCTTCTGTATTTTTTGTATAGATGCGTGTATATTTGTGTATATATATGTATATATACATATATATATATATATATATATATATATATATATATATCTCTCTCTCTGCTGCTGCTCTGCTGCTCTGTGTGTGTGTGGTGTGTGTGTGTGTGTGTGTGTGTGTGTGTGTGTGTGTGTGTGTGTGTGTGTGGTGTGTGTGTTCATGTGTCCCATAGCATGTACACTTCAGAAGAGGTCCAGCTCCACCATTGTTTTTAGAGTTTCTTTTCTGGGTATTTGAAGGCACTGTCCAGTCAGGGTGTACTTTCCTACCTAACATTAGAAAAAATTGTACACCATTTGTAGTGTTTTAAGGTAGGACATATCATGAATGATCACAAAACAGGTAGATTCATGCTCTTACCTTCACATTTTTTAATATTTATGATGGTGAGATCCTGAGCGCCGCACACACAGCAGCCATGACACTGGTGCCATTACTGCACCCGGTCACAACATTACTGTGCATCAATAACTATAAAAAATGTATGGGACCAAGGTAACAATAATAACGCAATGAAGTTTCTTATCGCGTTTGGGCGATTGCGTGTCAAATGAAATAGAGTAAAATAGAGAATGAAATAATATAATAATGAAATAACAAAATATGAAATAATAATGAAATAAGGCCAGAATGGTCTAGAACCTAGAACCAGAATAGACCAGAACCTAAGCTATGCTAAGCTAAGCTAAGCTAACCTAACCTAACTGAGAATAGACCAGAACCTAAGCTAAGCTAAGCTAAGCTAAGCTAATCTAACCTAACCTGACCTGACCTAACCTAACCTAACCTACCTAAACCTAACCTAACCTAACCTAACCTAACTACCTAACTGACCTAACCTAACCTAACCTAACCTAACCTAACCTAACCTAACCTAACCTAACCTAACCTAACCTAACCTAACCTAACCTAACCTAACCTAACCTCCCCACCCTATATCTCCTTCAACCCAGCATCCCATTGGCATCCATGTTCCATGCCATATATAGGTACTGTATAGTGAGCTTTTATTTAGGCACCATGTTTTCATTTTGCTTTACATTCGCCACCCAATCCCCTGCAACCCATCGTCCTGTTGGCATCAAGGATCAAATTTCATGAATTCTTGTTACCTTGGCCCCATACATTTTTTGTGGTTCTTGATGCATCAAGATGATGCATCAAGAACCAGGTTATGTTTGCTTAGCTTAGCTTAGCTTAGCTTAGCTTAGCTAGCTTAGCTAGCTAGCTCAGCTTAGGTTCTGGTCTATCCTCAGTTAGGTGGGTTAGGTTTAGGTTAGGTAGGTTAGGTTTAGTTTAGCGTTAGGTTAGGTTAGGTTAGGTTAGTTTAGGTTAGGTTAAGGTTAGGTTAGGTTAGGTTCAGGTTAGGTTCAGGTTCAGCGTTCAGGTCAGGTCAGGCTCCCCGGGTCAGGTCAGGTTATGTTCAGGTTCAAGGTTTAGGTTAGGTTTAGGTGTAGGTTAGGCTATGTGCTAGACTATTCTGGCCCCTGTGCGTTTCATGAAATACCTAAACGCAATACGAAACAATTTTCATTATGTTATCATGTTACCCTGGTCCCCATTGCATTTTTTTATAGTTCTTGGTAAGCAGACATATTGTATTTACGCAACGGCAACACCCAGAACGGCCGCTAGGGAGTCCAGACGGTGCGGTGTGTGCGGCGCTCGGGAGTCCGCCATCGAAGTTATCAAAATTTGAAGGTAGGAGCATGATTCGACCTGTTTTGAGATTATTTACAATCTGTGCCTGCCTTAAAAACGTGACAAATGTTGTACAATGATTTTTTCTAATGTTAGGTAGGAAAGTACACCTACACCCACTGTTCTGGCCATCTCAGCTGGTGGCTGTTAGAATGCTGACCTAAGACATGCAACTTTGACTACTTAAGCCCAGTCACCAGCAACCATACTTGTTTGTTTACCACATGTTTGATAGCCACAGGCTTAGCCACTGTGTTTGATAGCCACAGGCTTAAACCTGTGAGCCCCGAGTTTGGTGCATGGTTGCCTTAATTGTCTGCATATAGAGCCAATGTTCCAAGGAATTATGATGCTACCTAGACTTTTTGAAGCAAGAAGTACCTAATTTTTCTAGCAAACCTTTGAAATTCTGTGATTTGTAAGTGCATTCATGAGGAATGTACAGTATAAATAAGACAGTACTTGTAGCCATATTCTTTATAGAATAATGAGAAGAAGGGAGAAATAATGCATTCATTTCCATTTTCCAGGTCATTCTGTGAGGAATAGTGATTTTAGTGATTAATATTTTGAATTCAGTACAATTTGAATTAGCCTGAGTTTGGCACACATGTGCTCCAGGCTCATTGTGCAGTCAGTCTGCAAAAATGGAAGATTTTGAAAACATCCTGTTGGGCAGGGCTATGCAAGGAGGAATATTTGGGGTAGATTTTGAGCTGTGGTGGAGAACAAGGATAGCTGGATGAAGTAACTGAGTATGTGAAGAATGCACAAGTGACAGGTCTAGCTGAATGGTTCATTGAACCATATTTATTTTAAATGTGTCAGACCTGTTAGTCTGTATATTGTCTTGCCAGTTCCTAGGTGGAACTAGTTATGCAACCTTCCTGTAGTCAGAGATCCAACAATTCACTTTAAGCACTAGGACACAAGCACCAGGTTTCCCTGCTTGTGCTGAGCAGGGAAATCAGCCACAAACAGCCACACAGCAGATAGGTCAGTATCAGTGTGGCCACTCTGAAACTGTCAGATTCTATCATTTTCATGGTGAAAGTCTTATGTGTTCTTAGGTCCTGTAAATTTGGCAACATAAAGGTGTAATGCAGGACAAAGCATAGTAAATTCATTGTGATTCTGATCCATCCTGAACAGAGCATTAGTGAGAGCATCAGGAAGCTGTGGAGACCCCTAACCCAGTCCTCAAATCATTGGTCCCTGTCCAAACAGAAAAGTTGGCTGCCCCACTTTGGGCAGAATCAGACCTGCCTCAAACATCTTGTGGGCTGGTCTGCCATGTTTTGCATACTGGATGTGTTGCACATCAACACAGTGGATGAATGTTTTTGCCAACTGGCATCCTGTTAGTCTGAACTTTGGTGGTGTCTATTAATCATACCAGCTTGCTGGCAGCATATTAGCAGCTGTAGCTTGGTATGCTGGGGTGTAGCAGCCAGCAGGACCACTACACACCATGTGCTTCAAACTGCTTACAGCAGATGAGCAGCCTCAGCCGTCACAATATTACTGTGCAGGTCTGTGCTCATCAAGGCTAACCTTCTCCTTTGCCCAGCTAGTACTGTCAGACTGCAAGCAGCAGGTAAGGCATGCTGCCAATCACATGATCACCACTACATACTGGAGTGTTCAGTCAGGTTGACTTCTGTCTACCTGTGGCCTGTGCTGTCAGAGTTCTGGCAGCATTTAAACAATCTTGGCTACTGCAGAAGAGTCATTACACATCCCTGTAATCATTGTGGCCAGCCTCTGTGCATCCCCATCTGTTGCTGCCAGAATCTTAACAGCTGATCAGCAGTCGTGGGTATTACAGTGAGGCTACTGCTTACCCATGCACCTAGTTGGAATGACTTCTGCACGTCCTTGGCTGTTGCTGTCAGACTGCTGACAGCCACATACCAGCATGTATGGTGAGGTCCTCTATCTAGTGAGGCTGACATCTGCCTGTTCTCAGTGGTCAATGGGATGTTTCTGGCAGCAGGTGAGTTAATACAGCTGGGTCTTTACACACACCCCTGTACTGAGACCGTTCCAGCTGTCAGACCACCGGCAGCAGGTGAGCGACCTCAGCTACCTTAGCTGGATCATTACACACACCCTTGTACTGGGACTGCCCCAGCTGTCAGACCACCGGCAGCAGGTGAGCGACCTCAGCTACCTTAGCTGGATCATTACACACACCCTTGTACTGGGACTGCCCCAGCTGTCAGACCACCAGCAGCAGGTGAGCGACCTCAGCTACCTTAGCTGGATCATTACACACACCCTTGTACTGGGACTGCCGCAGCTGTCAGACCACCGGCAGCAGGTGAGCGACCTCAGCTACCTTAGCTGGATCATTACACACACCCTTGTACTGAGACTGCCCCGGCTGTCAGACCACTGGCAGCAGGTGAGCGACCTCAGCTACCTTAGCTGGATCATTACACACACCCTTGTACTGAGACTGCCCCGGCTGTCAGACCACTGGCAGCAGATGCGTGATCCCAGCTACCATGGCTGGGCCACTACACACACCCTTGTACTGGGACTGCCGCAGCTGTCAGACCACCGGCAGCAAATGAGTGATCCCAGCTACCTGGCTGGGCCACTACACACACCCCTGCGCTGAGGACTGCCCCCAGCTGTCAGAGCACTGCCAGCAGATGAGTGATCCGCAGCTACCATGGACCGTGGGCCACTAATACACACACCCCGTGCGCTGAGGCCCTGCCCCAGCTGTCCAGAGCACTGACAGCAGATGAGCGACCTCAGGCTACACACAGCTGGGTCGTCACTCACACACCCTGTACTGAGGCCTGATCTACCCTGCACCCAGCTGTCCACTGGCAGACCGCTGGCAGCAGATGAGCGACCTCAGCTACCGCAGTTACGTCATCATGCTAGACAGCGAGCGGTTTAAGTCGCTGGTGCGCTTCGGCCGTGCCGCGCAACTACTCAACAGTCGTCATGTTTAACGGCCATGGACGCGCGCCGCGGCTGCGCCATCTGCCGGTACGCCAGGCTGAGCACACAGCGACGCAAACTGATGGATCTCAGGGCTAATCCGTCATATGCTTGACGTCTTCACCCTCTCCCTGATTCGCCTCTTTTCATAGCGCAAACTGATGGGGGGGGGGGGGGGATGCGAATCCTCTGGGGTTTCCAAAGTAATAAAGATATCATTCAGCGGAAAACTCCAGTGGATTTTTTCAACGAGACATCGCGATTGGTACTAGTTTTTATGTTGTTGGCACACAGTTAACCCCATTATGGCTGACCAAAGATCAAATTTTCCAAAAAAATCCCACCTTTCAGTTTACATCACACGTACGAGACTATGCGTTGTTTGGACACGGAACTTAAACAGGTGTGATCCTTGTTTCATCAGGGTGAGTACAATGGAGTGTATGTTCACGTGTTTTGACCACATATTGATGATGTATAGCTCCGTTAATATTAACGGTGGCGGACCCCCGCGCGCGCTCCGCGGAGTCGCGGTTGCCGCCGCCGCCCGCGCCGTTCGTAGATCCCCGTGCAATGTTCAACAGTCGCCGCTGCTCCGAAAAAAATAACTAGGAACTTGTGTGTGGTGTCAAAACATGCGCAATGGATGCCCCATACGCTACTGAAAATTTGGGCACGATGGCACAACGTGCCAGAGAAATATCCACAAGCAGCCTCAGGGGGAGGGGGGGGGGGGGCGGTTGCATTAACCCCCCCTCCCTATCAGGGCGGGGTTTAAGCACAAGCTCTTGTGAACAAACTACAGATTGGCCGGTCATGCGACGCTTTTACCGACCGATATCATGCATCAGCAACTCGTGCTAACGAAGCCTTGAAACCAACTGCACTGAGTAGGCGAATGTATCAGCTGCGTCTCGCGAGTATATTGCAAAGACGCTCAATCCATAGATGAACTTTCACGGATCGGTAAACGGTCAATGTTGACTTATACGAAACGGATTTAGTGTATAAGATACTGCGAATGGGATCGCGAGATCGCGTCATTGGAACTACATAGACTACATAGCCCTTTTCATGGTTACCTGTATTCGCCCGGGATGTTTGCGTTTGCACAACACTGGTCGCAGTTGTCAAAATCGTAGATCACTGTAGTCATGTATTTGGTTGAATGAGCTTACCAGGCGTGACCAGGCTCATAGCTGGCCAGTTTTCAGACTGCTGTCTATGGAGTAGTGTACTGCAGAGCTCCCCCAGTTTAACACTCCGGAAGAACGAGCTTCTCAACAGGCTGATCACGCCCATAGTTTCCAATCTGGGCCCATTACCTGAGTTTTCGACATCATCTACACGATGACAGCTGATAACTCACACGCCTTGTCGCTGGTATCGTCCCACGCCGCATTGACCGTGGGAAGGTGGAGTAGAGTTCGTGGCAAGTTGACGGATGTTGCAGTACTTTCCTACTCTACTCGTTGCCTTTTTTGCAAGAAGTTCCGTCTTGACCCTGTAGATGTAACGATTCTTCGAAATGTGGCGTCGTAAAGGGAGTGTTCCACAGTTGTATGGGGTTTTGAACGGAGATAATCATCTTGAAGGTGATCCGGCGCAGTTCACAGCTCTGCCCGTTTTAAGACCTAAACCTCTTTTGTTTCTTAGCTACACGTCCGAGATGTGCAGACTACTTCTGGCAGACTATTTCAAAGTCACCCAGACATTAATGCCGCTATAATAACAACATTCAAATCCTGCCATTCCATTAGCCAGGCGACGATCAAAACCAACAAAAGTGTAATGGTCGCGTCGCTCACATATGGCGTTCGTGAGTATGATTTCCAGATGTGACGGTCGCCAATGGGCCCGCAATGTTTTGTAAGGTACGATGATGTAAGCAGACAACGTGTTGAGGAATATATTTGCTAAACAGAGAAGTTGTGCTGTTTACTAAACAGAGAAATTGTATTGTCTAGAGCAGTCTGTTTTACTTAAGTACACCAGCAATTACAAGAGAGCTGATTTAATCATATCTGATGCTTGCCTCATTATATTCAAATGTGGAACATTCCCTTTAACATGGTCCCAATAGAGAGAAGTTAGATGAAGTGCCACTTACATTATGGTATTATACTAGTCATATTATTGCAGTCAAACACAGCGCAGAAGTGGCAATGTTTCAGTTTTTTAAAATAGTTTGTTGGTGTTTTCAGGAGTTGTTTGTACTATTTTTCCCTCATTCAATGAAAAGTGCGATAGGCTTCCAGTGGGGGCGGCCCTTTTGACTGTGTCGTTATCTGATAAAAAACATGGAGTACGGTTCGCCCCACTTTAAACAATGAACATTATTTCCTCGAATACGGTTTCATCATTTAAGTAGTCATCGCTCTGCCAGCTCCACTATCTGCACACCGCTGTGGGATATCCATTTTGAACTGTTTTCAGGGAGGCGAATGACGAGTATATGATCACGGCAACATCACACCGCTATTCGAAGTCGTACCCCAACAACGTCTTCTTCGCTATGGTCGATTTCGACAAGGGCTCGGACGTCTTCCAGTCGGTGAGCGCGCTCCCCGTGACATGCTCGTGTCCAGAATGACCATCATAATGTGAGCTTCCGAGGGAACAGCCGTTTCTGGAAAATACTGATGTCTTCGAACAGCAGTGATTGCGTGTAAGCCACATAATGATTGGTTGATTTCAAACACAGCCATTTTACCACGAAAATGAACTGTTGTGTGCTCTTCAACTACGTCTGTGAACCGGACCTTTTTATTCAACCACAAGGATTAATATTGCGCCTAACTGTTCCCCTTCTATCCGTGCAACTCAATATCAACACGGCCCCGGTGTATTACGCTTAACTGCCGCTCCCTTCTGTCCGCGTAGCTCAAGATCAATACGGCTCCGATGTTCATCCACTTCCCGGCGAAGGGCAATTACCGCAAGTCTGACATCATGGACATCCAGCGGACGGGGATTTCTGCCGAGATCCTGGCCAAGTGGGTGGAGTCGATGACGGACGTGCAGGTAAGCGGAGGCGCGAGCCCACGGTCCGGGTCTCCGGCAAGTCCCGGTCCGCCAGGCGGCGCGGTACAGCTCACATCGGTGAGCTGGCCGGGGTGCAAGCGTTGAGCTGATTCGGGGCAACTGGGCCGTGAATAGTGTCACTCACGTGCAGTGCCGCGCCCGCTGGCGCCGGTGGGACCCACCGCCGGCCGTGTCGTGCGTGCCTGACACTGTCTGCTGACGTCGGAGGGACTCGCCGCCGGCCGTGTCGTGCGTGCCTGACACTGTCTGCTGACGTCGGAGTGACTCGCCGCCGGCCGTGTCGTGCGTGCCTGACACTGTCTGCTGACGTCGGAGGGACTCGCCGCCGGCCGTGTCGTGCGTGCCTGACACTGTCTGCTGACGTCGGAGGGATCCGCCGCCTGCTTTGTCGTGCGTCTCTGACGACGCCGCCTGCCGGCCGCGCCGCACAGATCCGCGTGATCCGGCCGCCCAACTACGCCGGCACGGCCGGCCTCATGCTGCTGATGGCGCTGTTCGGCTTCCTCATCTACCTGCGCCGCAACAACCTCGAGTTCTTGTACAACAAAACCATGTGGGCGGTGTTGGCACTGGTGAGTGCTGAGTGTGTTCGGCTCCGGCCGCGGAGGGCCCTACGGTGTTGGGGAGCTCGCTACCCGCAGGATGTGTTCGGTTCTATCTGTGGAGGGCCACGTGGTGTTGGGGAGCTCGCCACCCGCGGGACCTCGTGGTGTCGGGAGCTCGCCACGCGCGGGGTGTGTTCGGCTCCGGCCGCAGAGGGCCACGTTGTGTTGGGGAGCTCGCCACGCGGCCGGTCAGACGAGCGAGACTACTCTGCCTGCACCACACAGATGTGCAGACACACTGGTGGTGCATGTTGCTTGACTGATGTTACCATCCGGCCTGACACGAGCCCTGCCACAGCCCGGTACCTGGGCCCGGGCCTTGCGCAGCGCCTGAGCTGTCCCACTGTGCAGCTCCGGAGGACGTTCACAGCTCCAGAGCGGGCCGCCTCTGCCGCAGTTCTTCACCTTCTCAATGACATCGGGCCAGATGTGGAACCACATCCGCGGCCCGCCCTTCATGCAGAAGGCTCGCAACGGCGGCGTTCTCGTACATTGCCGGCGGCTCGCAGTCCCAGCTGGTGGTGGAGACGTACATCATCATCGTGCTGAGCGCCCTCACCGTCAGCGGCATGGTGAGACGGCAGCCCCGGCCGCGCCGGCGGCCGTACGGTCCGCCCGGTGGCGTCGGGGCGCGCGGCACGCGTGTCGCCACTGGCGGCGAAGAATGGCTGGATGAATCACTGCGATGGGGTCTAAAGGCATAGAATGCCGGCGATGTGCGTCAGGTGAGTTTACGGCGGACGCTCATCCGGCGGCAGACCGTTGTGTGGTATACGTGGGTGGGAAGTGTCAGCAGCGTGACCGACCCCGACGCTCTGAACGCGGCTTGAGCCTGACCGGACTGGACCTGACCGGACCTGCCCCAGATCTTGATGATTGAGGCGGCCAGCACCAAGGCGGACGTCAAGAAGCGCCGCATCATGGCCATTGTCGGCCTGGCCATGCTGGCACTGTTCTTCAGTCTGGAGCTCTCTATCTTCCGCTCCAAGACCGGCGGCTACCCGTACAGGTAAGCGGCAGAAGCGCGGACCTCGGGCGTTCCTCCGCCCGCACCGCAGCACCGCGGCCGAGTGCAGGTCTCAGTGGTCGCACATCTGTGCGTGTGGGCTTACATACTCCACTCTGGTTTTGCCAGAATTTACCGGATTGTCATTACATGAAATTTGGGCGTTTGTGTTTTTTGGTTCCAGTGGATATCTTTTCGGAGTACAAATGCACTGAATAGGTAGTGTCGTTCTTGGTAAGCGCCATAGTATGTGTGAACGGAAGACTTGATGAAACGATGCTGACAATAATTTTGTTTGTTGAACGATAGCCCAGCAATTTGTATAAACTTGATTAGGTAGTGGCGAAATTTTACTCTCATTTTAAGGAATCATTAAACATCTATGCCTGGGTCCCAAAAAGACAAACCCAAATTTCGGACAGCCGCACTGCGCACTGGATTCGGAGACCAGCAGCGTGACAATGATGGGTCGGCGGCCGGTCGCACTGGGATTTAGACGAGATCGGTGTGTGTGGGCGGCGTGTGGTTGGCCTGCGAGGTCGTGCTGACGTCTCCCCCCCCCCCCCCCTGTTCCAGCTTTCTGATCCACTAGACGGTCGGGCCGCGCCGTCGCCGCCGCAGTCCGGGCCCGCGGCGGCGCGGCCGGGCCCGGTCGGCCAGATGAGCGGGTGGTTTGTTGCGTTTTGCGTTGGCCGCGGTCGATAGTGGCGCACCGTCCCCGCTGCGTTCACATTCCGTGTCGGCGAGGCCCGTCTGTGATGTTGGATTGGTCGGATTTGCGTGCGTTCTGTCCGCCTGTGGTGTTGGATTGGTCGGATTTGCGTGCGTTCTGTGCGCCTGTGGTGTTGGATTGGTCGGATTTGCATTCGTTCTGTCCGCCCTGGTTTGGTTTTAAATTTGTGTTGTGTTTGTTCCGGTCCGTCGCACCCGGCCGCCGATTCTGGTGCGTGACGTCACAACGTGTGGTATCTGTTCTGAGTGATGCCTATGGAGCACCAGCGATTTCCTCCCCCGCGACGGCCGTATGCCAGTGTTGGCCTCATGTGGTGGCCAGAGAGGCTGTCTCGGCGGGCGAGTGGTTTTACACAATACAGCTGTGCCGTGGGTGGACATGGTGTGCGAGTCGGCGAGCTATGACGCCAAGGCTGCGGGGTCAGGTGTCTCCCAGCAGTCTAAACAGCCAGGGGACGCAACGGCCAGCCGGAGCCTGGGTACGGGCCACAGCTCCCTCGAGGTCAGCATCGCTACAAACCACGCCACCTCGTTTGGCTCAAGTGTCGTAAGAAACAGGCTTCGGGATGCATCCGATTTATTATTCAATGACCTCTTTGTATATTAGACCCTGTGTGACTGGTCGCTCGCGCTAGACTAAATCCTGATTTATTAGTCAATGACCTCTTTGTATATTAGACCCTGTGTGACTGGACACTCGCACGAGACTAAATCGTGATTTACTAGCCAATGACCTCTCTGTATATTACACGCTGTGTGACTGGTCACTCGCGCTAGGCTAAATCCTGATTTGTTAGTCAATGACCCCTTTGTGTGTTACACCCTGTGTGACTGGTCGCTCGCGCTGGACTAAATCCCGATTTACTAGTCAATGACCTCTTTGTATATTCGACCCCGTGTGACTGGTCGCTCGCGCTAGACCAAATCCTGATTTACAATTCAATAGCCTCTTTGTATATTACACCCTGTGACTGGTCGCTCGCGCTGGACTAAATCCTGATTAATTTGTCAATGACCTCTTTGTATATTAGACCCTGTGTGACTGGTCGCTCGCACTAGACTAAATCCTGATTTATCAGTCAATGACCTCTTTGTATATTAGACCCTATGTTACTGGTCGCTCGCACTAGATTAAATCCTGATTTATTAGTCAATGACCTCTTTGTATATTACACCCTACGTGAATGGTCGCTCACGCTAGACTAAATCCTGATTTATTAATTAGCAACCCCTTTCTATATAAGTCGGTGCGACTGGCAGCTCGCACTCGACTAAATCTGGCTCGGGTACATCACTGATTGGCAACACTTTTGGCTGTCGTTTTCGGCGATAGCAAACCCATTCTCCACGTATACGGATACCCAAGGTCATGGCGGCATGACGTTACCAGGGCTCCCGTTTCTACGTGTTTGAATTTCCTCTATCGGCGCTGACATTTAAAAGCACTTATGCTACGAACCTACTACAAATAACGCAGAGCAATATTCGCGACACAACATCTGAATGTTTTAATGTTATCAGTTGGATGTGAATTACCACTGATCGTTACCTGAGGGATTTCACGATGTGCTGTCCGGCTGGTGGGATTTTCGGGAGAGCACCGAACCAATCCACAGTTCAAACCACCGTGACAGACCGGCACGTGCACTCAACTGCCGACCATCAGCCACCTAGACCAGCCTCCTTTATCCAGCTTCTCAAAGCAGAAGTTCGTAGATCATGGCGAGAAGGGCTTGTATATAGACATGCTGAGCGTACACCAGGACGCGTACGGTTAAACAGGCGTCGACGAGTGCGACACGGTAATAGGAGCCCACACCAACCTGCGCAATCCATGACGCATGGGAGGCAGGCAACGCCGCCATACGATACGTCTGTACATCATGCATACGTGTTGGCGACGTGGTATGGATCAGACAACAGCGGCTGCCCGACCGCAGCCCGACGGCGTTGTGCTGGTAACAGGTGTTGGCGCGCGATGACAAGTGCCAAGCCAGTCATACACAACTCGCATCACTTCCGACGTGGCCCAAATGCAGCTGTGTGAAGGGCAGCCTCCCACGGTGACGCCGTGGTCTTGGCCTCGCCGCCTCTTTGACAATTGCTCCATTTCCTGAACCGACCGAGAACGCGGGGCATGCGCGACGTGGTCGACGACGATTTTCAATTCCCTGTGCAAACAGGGATAGTAGAGCTTCTGTTGCGGCGACCGTTTCATTCGGACAGGCCCCCTGACGGGATACAGGGATTCATCCCCCAGCAAAAGTATGAGTGGGTCAACAGCAGGCGTGACGGTCGCCACGACCTAACTCCACCACCGATCGTGTTTCTATCTTCAGCTGCGACAGCACCACTTCACACGAGCGGGTGGGGTCCCTGGGTGACTGCCGGGTCGATACTTCGCGTCCCGCCACCGGCCGCGGTCCGCTGCGCACCTCACAGCAAGTACGGCAAAATGGCCCGCCGCTGCGCCGGGTAGTCGTCGAACTTCTGCCTGTACCAGATGTGCGACATCAGTGCGGCCCCCACCTGCGAACCAGGACGGTCAGCTTAGCAGGGTGGTCCGCCGCTCGCCATCCGGGCCGGCGCCGCGTGCGTCCGATGGGCAGCCCCGTCCGGAATCCGGTCATTAGCGACGGCAGCCGGCGGCTTTTTACGCCGGCGCCGCGCATCAGATGCGGCCAGCCGGGTCAGGGCGGGTCTGCCCGGCGCCAGTCGAGCGGCGGTGCCGGCAGCACGAAGAGACGCCGCCCGAGCAGCGGTCAGCGGGCCCCGCAGGTTTCCGACCCGCTCAGCCGCCATCAGCCGCCAGCACGCGACCGACATGCGCGAGACTGCCCTGCTGCTGGCGCTGGCCACGGCCGCTGCCGCCCAGAAGTTGCGACTGGGCCACTGCCCCAACGTGAAGTCCGTCTCCGACTTCAACATCACGACGTTCTCCGGCGTGTGGTACGAGAACCGCAAGTTCCCCACCTGGTACGAGATCGGCCAGGGGTGCACCACAGCCGAGTACCAGGACGTCGGCTACGCCGTGTACGTGGCTAACGAAGCCAGCGGTCCGCTGTGGAAGACCAGGAGGGTGCGGGGCTACGCCTTCTTCACGGGCTCGCCGACGAAGGCGAACCTGGCAGTGGGCTTCCCTGAGCCGGCCGACCGCACCCACACCAACTACCGGGTGCTGGAGACCGACTACACCGAGTACGCCGTAATCTACAGCTGCAAAAACGTGGTGGGGATGCACAGAGAGTGGCTCTGGCTGCTGACCCGACGGCCGCGCACGCAAGCCTCGGTTGTGCTCGGCGTCGTTCGCAGGCTAGTCCACTATGGCATCAAGGCGTACGAGATGGTGCCCACCAGGCAGCTACTCTGTCCGGGCCGCCTTTTATCTGACCTCGGATAGAGCCCATCTAACCCGGGGACGCGGTGCGGCAGCCGTCGCCTTGGACATCCGCGGTCGCTGCGACTCGGAGGGGGGGGGGGGGGAGGGCTGAGATAAGCAAGGCAGTTGGTTTGCGAGAGATCACGCGACGTGGGTATTACGCGGTATCGTGCGGATGTTTGCAACATATCGATTTAGGCCTTGTCGCGCATTACATAAAATTGATTAACTGAACTGATTTTCGAGTCAAACGTGTGTAAACTTGTACAAGCAATAAAGACATGTACAAGCAATAAAGATCAGCTTTGAATGCCCTGCATCTCTGCGGGCCCGGTGCCCAACCGAAGAACTACCGGGGGTCCTGGTTGACCCGACGTGATTGAATACAGCACACACAATCGTGAAATCAAATACACGGGGAAACAACGATGGCATACCAACAAAAACCGGTTCAACTTTAATTGAGACTAGCCCACCCTTTTTCCTGATACAAATAAATAAAAACTGAGACGGCCATACTCTTCGAACACGTTTTTAACATGTCAATAACCGACGGCAGCACAGGTCAGTCACATTTCGATAACAGAGCGCCCGGAAGCAAAGCAGACATTCGTGTTTTTCGCGCGCCTGTGAAAAGAAGCGAGCGGATACAAACACTGAGAACATTAACATTGCGCTGATACAGAAATGTCCTTAAGTAGTGCCTTCATAAATGTTAACCTTCACATTATGGTCAATTCAGCTGGCCTATTCGCCTGTCTGCCAATCACCAAGGCTTATCTAACAGCCCTCCAGTCTAAGCCAATCCGGACGGGGACAAGGAGCCGCGCGACCGACCGCTGCACGCGCGTCTCCCGCGGCGCCGCCAGCCGCTCACCTGGTTCGAGACGACCCAGAACCAAACGGCCAGCCACGAGAGGTGCGCCGGCCCCAGGATGACCGCCAGGCAGGTGTACATGACCACCTCGGCCAGGTAGTGTGGGCACGAGACGTACTCGAACCAGTCGCCGCGAGGGATGGCGTGGCGCTCGCTCACCACGGCGCCTGCAGCAGGGCGGCCAGGTCAGCGGGGCTGTGTGACCTCCCGCCAGCCACCGGTCGGCTGGAGCGGTGGGGCGGCACGGGTCAGCGGGACCGTCTGCTCAGCTGGCCAGCAGAAGGCAGGAGGAAAGGCGGATGTCAGCGGCACCGCTTGACCTCTCGCCGGACAGGGGTCATCGGAGCGCGCAGGGCCTGCGAGCCGGGGCATCGGTAGAGGGGCGGGGGCGGGGGTCGGCCCAGCTCTGAGAGACAGCCCTCCACGTCGCCGGCTGGCTGCCCACCCGCAGTGGATCAGTCACCGGGGCGCGGGCAGGTCCAATCAGTCATCGCGTCGCCGGTGAACGTCATTCATTCATGCTGCCGTGGCAATTGCCCGCCAATTATACAGCAGCGGCATGTCACAGCGGTAAAAAAATCGCCCAAATTGTACGAAAATGTAGCGTTCTTCTATGACATGCCCTAGGAGTCAAAACGCATATTTGTACGTAAATAAACGCATAAGTCCTTGTCAGAACGACTGATGACATGTACTGGAACTAAATGCATGATATTCGCCAGCCATGCCCGCGGAAAATTACGCCTATCTTAGAGAACAATTGTCCAAAGATATCGTTGCTGGTCCTTAAAATGGCAAGTTCTTTACGTAGAACGTTGTACTTAATGTATGTCGGGCACATATCATCAACAGCTACAAAAACGATACCGGTTACAATGTGGGGAGCCAACAGTCTTTTTGCGTTGGTCTGATTTGTTGCACGCCACTGACCAGGAAGCACAACCAAATCCAATCGACGGAGTCAGGGATGTGAAGGAGGCGTCCGCACACGTCGGCGGCTGTTTCCAAGCAAGTGCAATTATTCCATACGTCACCTGGACCACATCTGACTGATGCCGGCCAAACGGCGACTTCACGGCCACACCACGCATCGGGGCCATATGTGCGTGCGTGTGTGCGTGTGTGTGCGTATGTGAGTGTGAGTGCGTGCGTGCGTGCGTGCGTGAACGCGCGCGCGTGCATGCGTGTGCATGTTTCCCGTGAAATTTGAACAGTGCACGGTCACGACCGGAAACATCGATCACATTCCACGTCCACATCCCACCAACAGAAACATTGCCCGCGGATGCGGGGCGTAGGTAAAAGTGGAAATTACTTGCAGTTAGATGTGGGCACCCTATCAAACAACACGGAGGCCGAGCGCCGCTTCCAAAGCCCGTTCACAGCGGCCATTTGGGCTTTCCAGAGATACTGGCGGTTGGTCAGCACGTTCTGGGCAGCATTTCACAGCAGTCGAAAGAGCGCCTTTATAGTTGCACACATTTTGCAACACACAAGATCTTAGCGCCATTGTTGGCAGCAGCCAGCTTACAGTTTCAGCCAGCCGGTTTTTACAGGTTAAATTCGGATGACTACCGGTGGCAAAAACTCACAGAAAAGGGCAGTGCCCTGGGCAGTTCAACCAGTGGGGCGGGGTGGACGAGAAGAGTGGCCAAATAAGTCATGTGTTAGTATTGTCGGTCTGAGCACAGTGCATTAAGCATTCGGAAAGGTAAAGCAAAAATAACGGCTGACAGGCAAGAATTGCATGACGTGGAAACTGTAAGGAAAATACCTGAAAGCTACATAGCAAGATGTTTGGTGCCATAGGTGCAACCACGCCTCTGATTAGTGGGGAAAGGGATAAACAAAAATGTGGGGGAACAGCCCGCCTTGAAAATGACATGTTGACTGGAAAATCGTGCAAACCCGTCCATTCTGCGGGAAAAGTTGTAGGGCATAACATAGGGGAGGGGATGTCTCCCCGTCCCAAGTGGTAGCCCCAGACATACAGTGCAGTTTGGAACATGCTATGAAACACACAGGGCACGCACACTGTTGCCGTCTCCGCTTAGCTCTTTTTTCCCGCAGATTTCCGCACAATTCCGCAGACAAGCTAGTTGAATTCAAGGCGTGCCACCGTTTTTGTTTTAAAAAAGTGCAAGGAGCAGTGTGAAGCATATGATACCTTAACGTGATCATCCACGACCCTGACCTTGGATGACCTTGATTCAAAATATTCAAGTTGCGAGTCCTAATAAATATGCATGCAAGTCGTACTGCCATAACACCTGCACATTGTCAAGCTATAGTGTTAACCAACGTGACTCCATCTTAATGTTAAATGGTACTTACCGTCATTAACACTACAGCTCATTTTGGTTAATCGTAACGCGGCTTTGCTGTCCAACCTGCTGGCATGGCCTTTCCAAAGGTCACGGCATATGTTAAGTTCACGGTATTAGCACCTCACAGCTACGAAACAGATCACCAAGACCTGGGGCGTAGGGAGCCAAGGATGTTTCATGCTTCAGCCCTGCAAAAGTTTGATAATGAGGTCACTGACCTAACAATGTAGGATGTTAAAAGTTCCAGGTCAAGTGTAAGGAGTTTTCGAGCAAAGCTAGCCACAAGTTATCACAATTTGATGACAACTCCGGAAGGTACATAAAAAAAACATCGCATTCTTACCGCCCACCATAACTACTAGCAAAAGCTGGACCACTTATTGCTAAAAGCCGCAGGAAGCTTGAACCGCCGATTACAAAGGGATTAGATTAAACAGAGCGCACGAGCAGGCTTCAAAAGGTTCGACGCTTGACGCGCGACGCATCGACATCGGCGTGCGTCCTCTCCCTCGACTTTGATATCGTACTTTGACAAACGGGGCAGGGCATCACACATACCCTGATTGGAAACGCACTATTTGACGGAAGAATGAGTGTCCGGACTTCCGTCCCCTCTGGTGTGTTAGGACGTGCGAAACATTCCGGCCAGCTAATTTCCCGGCTGGGGTCGGGTGTTAATGAGCCTTGAAAAGGACTGCATGACGTTTGGATGGCAGCTCTGTGCCACGATTCGAACGCTCTCAGCCGGCACAGCGCTGGATTCGCAGCCAGGAGACCCAATGACGTTCAAATACCAGCAATTCCAGGGAGACGATGCGGGTTGAAGTGCTCAAATACCAGCAATTCCAGGGAGACGATGCGGGTTGAAGTGCTCAAATACCAGCAATTCCAGGGAAACGATGCGGGTTGAAGTGCAAACGGGGCTAAAGAGCAAACGCCGTCCTGTACATTTTAGGAATCAACACCTGACGACGGCAGGAAAGTCAACTAGACGAAACCTTGTGAGCGTCTGAGACGACGGACGTGAATGCTCGTCAGTACTTAGTCCACCCGTAAAGCATGAACATCCCGTCCTGAATCCTTCCGTAAAACCCACAAATAACTGATTCTTCAACACTACCAAAACTGCGAACAAGGCTTCACAAAATCCTGCGGGCCGGGTTTGACCTAGCGACCTATGGATGTCTGACAAACCACTACAGTCCACCGCTCTACCCGCTGAGCTACAAGAGGACCCGAAAACGGCAGCTGCTGTTCAGGGATTAGAAGGCATCACTGGCCTGGTTTTACCACCTCGCTGACATCAACCGGCGCTTTTACCTGGCCAACGGCTACCTTCGCCGTCGCGGCTGATACGCGGCTGAAGTAGCAGGCGTCGGCCATTGGTAGTTGGCGATCTTCCGTGTTTACTTGCAAAGTGATCCTGAGTGCTTAAAATACTCCACCGCGCATCATTTTGGACATCATTTTACGCGAAACTGAGAGACAAAATGGATGGCAATGGATCAGTACAGCGTGGAAAGTGGTGGCACTAAAGCGGGGCATATGGTGCCAACATAATCGGATACATCTTTATCATCGATCGGGCCGCAGCGACTTGCATACAACAAATAATTCACAAATAACTAATTGTTGGCAGCTCCATCAGTTACTTGCGCAGCCACCGGCGTTGCAAAAGGTTTAACTTGCCACCAAACTGTTAACATCCGCGACGGAAGACCACTGAAAATCACCCCCCTCAAGTGGGGCGATTGAAGTGTATCCTCCACGACCTCTAGAAACTATACAAACTAGAAACACTGCGGTTGCCAGGTGGGTGATGGCTTACATAAACTCTGCTGCGAGCAAACTAAGTGACCCTAGGTGGAAGTCGTCCAAAACAGATACGGGAAGACGTGTTCAAAGTTGTCAATTTCCGCATTGTTTAAGTTTCTGCTCAAAGTGTTTGCCCGTTCAATGGAAAATCAGCCGTGATTCTCAGTTGAAAATATCAAATGTGCGAGACCGTCACAAATGACACAGGACTAGCTGAACATAATGATTCCAGCAGCCGCCTCCAACCTCAACAAATACGGAAACCCTCATCTATTTCCACTCTAGCCCCCCCCCCCCCCCCCCATCCTCCCGCTTTAGACCAGCGGCGATATGCAGTAAAACACAGCCACGATGAAAGTCCTAAGGAGCACCCAAGCGCATGCGCCTGTCACAACGACCACACTAAGTCCGAAAATTTGATGAGTTATCCCAGCATAAAACAACTTCAGGTAACAAGTAGGATACCGAACGTATAAGAGTGTACCCCAAAGTCCTACACATATACATCCTTAGGCAGCTGAGTGCCGACGTTTTCACAACACTCAGGTGCGCACGAAAGGCTGGACCATGTGTAAAAAGCCTGGCCATGGGTAGGCGACGTTTCGGCACGGCGGAAGCTGGTGAGCGGCTGGTCCGCGCGGCAAGAACGATTTTGGTGCGTGTTCTGGTGCTATTACATTGGTCTTAAGTGATCGTGCCCACCGATCATCGTTTCTGACTGTCGTGAAATTTTCAGCTATCAGTTACACTCGATTAACGTTTACTCCAGGCCAGAGAAAACACATATAGAAAGATCCAGCTTGATGTAACTAGGACACCAGATTAAATACCAACTCTGTTTAGAGCACACAAGGAAAACAAAAGTACAATAAACATGTCATAGCTAAATGGATGTGTGTCACATTGTATGCGCATTTGACCATAAGCATACGGAATACATGACTATGTTCTTACCGGACTCATCTTTCCTCAAGTTGGCGAAGATACAGTGTGCTTTGTACTGATGCAGCCAAGCCAGCATAAAGATGGCGCCACAGGTCCGGTCCAGCCAGCTCAGCTTGGTCACGTTAAACAGGCGGCGACCACGACCACCTGCCCGAGGTAGTGACACGGAGACGGTCAACACAGGCCATGCGTGTCAGCTTGCGGTACCTCCTTCTGTCTCTCGACCTGAGGTCAGTCTGCGACAGCAAAGGCTACAGCTGGGACGACATCCAGCCAGATACGGACAGCCACAGCTACAGCCCGTAACCACATCTTATCCCAATGACATCACTTTGTTCGATGTCAATAGAGTCGTGTTTTTGCCGTCACGCCGATTATAGCGGGATAAATGCAGGCACGGTCGATGGTGAGTCTCACACCCACCACCTCTCGCTCGCGCCGCGTGCGGCGGGTTGGCAGGCCGCCAATGGGAGGCCATCCGCCACCCTCACCGTCCTCAACGAAGCCAGGAGCCTCGGCAAGCACGGCGGCCACGCCAAGCACGTAATGCAGCACGCCGGCCACGTACTGGCCCAGGTGGATCCTGGTGTTCGACGGCACGTGCACGAACACGTGCTCGTACAGCCTGGAAAGGACGGGCGGTGGGCGGGAGTGACAGCAGCATGTGACAACGCGACGACAGTGACAGGATCAGAGCGGATGACCGCAACCAACGACCACAACCGGAAAGATACGGGCAGGTAGAGCGTTTTGGAGCGTGTTTCTGCGCATTTTGAGGCCAACGCAGATCATTCAACGAGGACAGAGCCAGCCATTGTGGCTAAGCAATGACAGGACAATGGCAATGAATGAATTCAGCACAAAGGCACATGACTCAACAGAACGACACAGCGGAAGCGTGAGCAGCGGGATTACCGCAGTTCGAGAGCTCACGCACACCTAGGTTCGCTGTCAACACATTTACAAACATAACGCTATTCTTATGATTATCCACATGTGTTTTTTACATGGAATGAGCGTCTCTAGTCAGTTACTACTCCACCCCACGATGAATTCCTAGTCAGGAGCGTGAGTCCGTACCTGCGGCAGATCTGCGTCGTGAGCAGACACATGGACCAGGAGCGTGAGTCCGTACCTGCGGTAGATCTGCGTCGTGAG